GAAGCTTAAAGTCTGAGGGATGCACGTTAACGTTTGCGTTTTTGTTGAAAATCTTGTGTTGTACTACGGTCCTCAGCTCCGTTTTTTTTGTTTTTTTGTTTTCTTTTCTTTTCTTTCTTTTTTTTTTTTTTGTCTGTGTGTGTGGCGGAAGGGGGGGTGAGCCGAACTGGTCGTTTATATCAAAATAGACCGACGGCTGGTGCGGCGACGAGTGTCTGCTGCTGGTGCGGTGTCTAAGATTGAGGTCAGTTTGTCTGGTTCAGTTCCGTTAAAAATTTCCGGCGGCACGTCTTTTGTCTTCTCTCCTTTCCGCCCGTGTGGACGGCTATATTTATTTATTTATTTATTTCAGTACCCCCAAGGCCCGAAGGCATCACAGAGGGGAAAGGCGAGTAACAAAACATAATACAAAAATGAAAATAAATACAAAAAATATACAAGAGAAAAAGCAGTCAGGCTGCCTGCTGACAAAAATGGCTGGTTAATGCAGTTCTAAAAGAATCAAATGATGATATAGATACTCAAGATGCGGGAAGGTGGTTCCACTCCGATAAAAGAGTCGAGGTAGGCGGAGGTGCGACACTGGGGAATTCCAACTTTATACTGATGATCAAGGCGAAAGGAGATGTGCGGGGGAGGGAGAAGTTTTTCTTTTAGAGTAGGGATATGGTAGCAAATTTTATGAAAAAGCGATAGACGGGATACTTTACGGCGCACAGAAAGAAGGGGCAAAGATAAATTAGATTTCATGGATGACACACAACGATGATAATTACAAAAGATAAACTGATATGGCTGTTAGAGATAAAATATAAATATTGCTGTTCCCTCGCGAATATAACCAGCTCGCCTGCACGCTTTCTCTACTTGCAATTCGCTTCTTATAGGGCCCGGTTGTGTCTCATGTACAAATATTTTAAACACACATTCAAAATACTTGAGTATATTTTATTAGATTTTTAACGACATTTAAAGAAACGTACGCACTTGTTGATTGGGTATTTCACACGCAAACGTAACCAAATAAAATTGTGGACACCGTTCATCGCGATGTGATGAACCGGTTTGAGCACAAATAAACGAAGACGAACAAAGTGTCAAACAAGAAATGTGTAAGCGGGGCAGAAATATCAACTCCCCCAAAACATTCTGGTCCTTGGATTAAAAAGTGCGCGCATGCGCGGGAGAGTGAGGCACATGGGCCGTCCTCCTCTTCTCACGACTCGCAAGCTCCAGTCGCGGACCCGCGGTACGACGCGCTCACCGGATGCGCCGCTGTCTCCTCAACAGGGAGTTTTCGTAGATCGTTTTGCCGCCCCGCAAGGCCCTCCGCAACCCGCTACGATAGCGGGAACGCCACAGTCAAGGCTATCGGCGCGCAGGCGCAGTAGCAACGTCTTCGTTGCGGAACGCTTAGCGGAGGGGGCAGAGCGGTCTACGAAAACTCCCTAATGCCTTGCGAGAGGAAGGAGCGGACACAAAAGGTGATAGCTGAACAGAAGCGGCGACATGCTGAGTAGGAGTGTGCTTGACGTGCACAAAAGATGCCGAAAAAAAAAAACTCCTTTTTATTTATAGGGATAGAGAGGGAGAGGCGCATTCGGCGTTCACTTACCCGATATATGGTTCGTCGCAATGTAATGAGCGAAGTAAAACCTTCTGAGAAAATGTGCAGTGCTATCATATTTCGACCTAATATGTAGCGAAGCATCGCAACATGCAGCCCCTTTTTTTTTATTTGTAAAATGCGTTTATTTCTGTGCTCTAAAAACCGTCGCATTAAAGAAACGTTGTTTGAAAAAGGATTTCTTGCCTAGTAGGGCAATGAATTTCAGTGTACCTTTGAAATGAAGCGTGCACTTGACTCATTCGACGAAGATTCAGTTGTTTCCTCATGTAATATCTGCCTCTCTTATTCTGAAAAAAATTTATTTTGAAGGATGGTAGTTTACTTAAAGCATGAAAATGCTTTTTAACGCTGCCCCCCCCCCTGCCCCCCCCCCCCCCCCCCCCCCCAATCCCAAAACTTTGTCCATCCGTCCGTGCATTTTCCGCTAAATTAAGTGGGGAAAGTGACGATACGTGATATCACGCGACCTATACACCTTGAGGAGATTGACGTCACGTGACCTATACACCAATTAAGTTACCCGCTAAATTTAGCGGGAAAATTAACGTCTTGTGACCTAGACACTAATCCAGTTTCGCCGCTAAATTTAGCGGGGGAAATTGACGTCACGTGACTTGACGCCCCGTGACCTACACAACCGATCAGTTTCCCCTCAAAATTTAGCGGGAAAATATACCTCCACGTTACACACCAAATCTCCCACCCCATCCATCTCCTCCTCCCTCCCCTCTCCTTTCTTCTTCCCATCCCTCCCCCTCTTGGTAAGAAAGAAGAGAACAGTTGTTTATTTACAATCAGGACTAGGTCAACCTGCTAAAAAGTTGATTTGCTACTTCGCAAGGGAGAGGAGCAACAAGGTGATGTTGATCCAGCATTTCATGCATGTACTTGAAAGTAAAGGTCGCAGTCAATTTTTTTTTATGCACGTCTTAATTATAAACTCCATTCTTAATTCGGGCACGAGATTTTTTTTTTTCACTCGGAGTTAAATTTGTGTCTAAGATGCTAAACTATGAGAACATAATCGATTTGGAAACGTATTTGAAGACGATAAAATTCCCCTGGTTGTATTTGTATTCATATACATTTCTCAATAGCTTAATTACCTTTGTAATGCATTTTTGTCAAAGCTTTCGCAAAAAAACTTTTAAAAGGAACAAAATGCGGTCTATAATGGTAGAAAGGTGCTGACGCTGACAAATGGACACTCAGAAGGATGCGCAGCAAAATCTGATAATGGCGACCTATATTTCTCTGAAAAACTTTACCTTCGTGATAAGTTTTTATGAAAGTATGGTTGAACGCTTTCCATTTTATTGTACCCCAAAAAGCTCTTCTTGAAAATCGAGTTATAAATCGAAATATTGGGTTTTAAAGCTGAAGCCGCGACTCCAACTAACTATAGGTGGCGCCACTCATTTTCCAAGATGGCGGGTTTAGTGAGGGTCAGAGATGCGTGCCGCTGTTGAGCCCGTCTAGTGTGCTGGCGTCACTGAGCGCCATAAATTATTTCTGGTAATACAAGGAAGCTAATATTTTATGAGCGCAGGTTACCCCTTTAACCTGAAAACAAGAACGGTGTTTAGCGTATTTTTTACGGAAGGATGCGCGTTTTAATTTTGGAGCGAAACCGAAACTTACCTCTATTTTGGATTTAATTTCTCGATATAGGCCTTAATTTCGAATTATTTCACGACTCAAGATGTGTCTCACATCGTAATTATTTACTTAGAAAAGTTGCTCGCGGAAACTTTATTTTGTGACATATTGTTCGATCCAGGGTGATATTTGTAGTTGCTGAAACAATCAGTGCTGATATATGTGCGTCCTCGCTGCCTTTTTCTCGCTCAGATAATCGTCATGGGAAATAATGACAATTATTCCAACACAAGAATGAGAAAATAATTCTGATTTTTATAATATGTCCACGAAACGTATAAACTAATAAACGCTGCTCTCACTGCAACAACCCAAAGACGGAATCCGAGTCAGACAGCTGAAGTGTGTGTTTGTGTGTGTGTTTATAGCACCGCGTGACGTGTAGGACTTCATATTACATCCATTGTTTGACTGTTTGTCTATCTTGATAACTATGTCAGAGTGTTTCACATGCTAAAAAGAAAACAGAATTATACCTTTCTGGAAAGACTATTATTGTTAAATAGCGTATTCTCGCGATCTTGGCGTTAATTGGAGGCATACTTTGCCGCGATTTGTATTAATAATAATAATATTAAAAGTCACATATTTGAATAAGTAATTCTTCAAGTTCTAATATAATTTGTTGCTTATGATCTAATTTTAAACGCGCGAAGAAATATGACAATAAAACTGTGCTAATTATCATCACTGGTTTCAGTTGCTGCATTTTAATTACCAATAAAAAAATAGTCTAAAATCAATGAAAACATTTTAGCGAATGTGAGAAATCCATGTAAAATTACATTGATCGTGAATAAAGTATATTGTGCTCAAAGTCGCGACTTTTGACAACCGGCGAAACGCCCAAAGTCGCCGCCAATAACCTTCTAAACCAAATGCCCAAAAATAAAAAAAAAATAAAAAATGAAAAAAAGAAAAAGCTTTTTTTTAATTATTAGTTTTCTCATAACATTTATTTACTTTTGTATTTGGTCGCCGTTGCTTTGCCAATCTCAACCTTTCCAGTTCGAAGGAACGCCTACCTACTTGCACGTCTGGTCACTGCAGCACGTTTCGTTGGCGTTGGAAGCCGGTGAAACAGTTGTGAGTTTTAATATTGCGTATACGAGCGAACTCAAGCCCTGTCTGTTTGCGTTAGCTTTACGTGTTCTACACTGCGCGTGCGCGGAGCCCGAAACTGCGGTCTTGGATGGCGCATGGCGATGGGGCGCACGCAACGTGGGGCACGGAACTCTAACGCAAACGCATACCGCTTGCGTTTGCTTCTATGCGCAATACTAAAACTCTCCAGTAAGGTACAATCCCATACCGGCTGCAGCACTACGTTGGGACAGTGAAGAGTCTTGTTTACATTCGGAAACGACAGTTCGCGAGCCATGATCGCGTGCAGTTCCGCCATGCCCGCTGAGCAGGAGAGTCGGGGGACCCTTACTAGAGCGCTTCCCGTTTCCGCCGCGGGAGGGCGAGCGTCGAGCTGGAGACGCGAATACATTGTGAGACAGAACGGTTTAAAACAAACATAGAAACAATTGAATCCAGATTAAAACGACATCAGCATGATATAGCATTTTTATTTTTATTTTAGTATTTCTATAGTACAAAAGAATGCAGCCGGCAGGGGCACTGACTGCAGAGTCAGAAAACAGCATAAAATGCTCTTTCGTGCGTAGATTCTACCCTTTTATCCATCCGTTCAGACGTCGACTCGTTACCAGAGCTTGCCACCAAGACCGCCGAGACCACCAAGGCCGCCGAGACCGCCAAGACCGCGGAGACCGCCGAGACCACCCAGACCACCGAGGCCACCCAGACCACCAAGACCGCCGTGGTAGCTCACGAAAGGCTTGGAAACGTGGGACACACTGGCGAAAGGCTGGGCCACGTAGTTGACGACGGGCTTGGCAAGCAGACCGTAGTTGACCACAGGCTGCTTGAGGACGCCGAGGGTGGCCACTGGGTGGGCAGACAGGGCACCGTAGGCAGTGCCGGTCTTCAGGATACCTCCGCCCAGGCCCAGGCCGCCGAGACCGAGACCGCCTAGGCCACCGCCGAGACCGCCCAAGCCGTGGCCGAGGCCACCGAGGCCACCGAGGCCGCCGAGGCCGCCGAGGCCACCAAGGCCGAGGCCCCCGGCGGAGGCGCAGGCCACAAGGGCGGCAAGGACCACAACCTGGGAAATTGGGGAAAGCAGGTAATATGAAAAGGTAACTGTAGAGCCAAACGTGAGTAAGGTAGCATCGATGCTAAGATAAAGCAAGTATCAAGACTCTGATGTTGTTCCTTGTACATATACAGAGTATAAAAACTTTTTATCGTCTAAAAACTCGTCAATTATGACAGGAAATAAATTTAAGAATGTATAATAGATGAAATGACACGATGTCAGCAAATATAATCCGCGTTCATATTCTGCGGTAAATCACATAAACTATAAGTGGTATGTATATGCCTTAAGGGGTCACAGAACTTTTTTATTTTTTTTTTATTTCAGTTATTAGTGTTTATGCGCTTACACTTGCGGATTCGCGGGCGGATCCGCGCAGTCGGAAAGTGGACTTTGGAGCCGAGTGGCGAAATCGACTCGTCGCTGGCGGCAGATCCGGAACAGTCCGGAACCCATATCCAGATTTTCCTCCAGCGATGAGTCGATTTCACCACCCGGCTCCAAAACTCACTTTCCGCCTGCGCGAATCCGCGCGCGAATCCGCCCGTGAATCCGCGAGTGTAAACACGCCATTAGACCTAATTCCTGATGTCCATAACACATATATAAGACATAATTCTATTTTAACTCAACGTGCAAAATGTAAATCCTGGACTCAATGAAGCGAACATATAGTCTGTTACAAATAACGGACACATTTTATCCCGTGGCTCGTTAATTTCTCGCGCTACCCAACAGCCACCTTTCTGACACCGTGCGCAGAGCGAATGCCCAAAGGCGAAATATTTCGCTCGTTCGCAGTACATTCCCTCCGCCGAGTCCAGCCTTTACAGAAAACACAGGAGAAAGTCGGGCAGCGTTTACCGCCGCAACTCGTGGCCAGAACAAGCCACGAGTTGAGCTAGCGATGCTCAGAGCACATGCTGTGCTCCGGGCATCATTAGAGTACGGCGATCGTACTGTCAACTTTCATCTCAGCCACGCGCTTGAGCTAGCGATGCTCAGAGCAGCTCCGCGCATCGTTAGAGTACGTCTATCTCCGTCACTGCATTGATTCGTCACTATATAGCGCGAACCCGAGCATTCGCCTACAGATTGTTTTGTTGTCGAGCGGATTGGTGACGCGGTGCTTGTGTCCAGTACGGGAGCCGAATTCGACCGTGACGCGCCCGGAACCATTTATACTCGGGCGGATCACGACAAAAGCGGCTCCTTCCAAAAAAGAAAAAGAAAAAAAATCCGCTTTCCGTTTTGAAATTGTATAGAGGAAATCACGTTTCTGACTTCTTTCAATTATGTTCTTGCTCTATTATGTGCGGTGACAGGATATCAGTTCGTAAAAGTGGAACCCAAAATTGTTTTATTCACTACAGGCTAGAACCAAACATAGAAAAGGGGAATTCATGTAAACCTAAGAACAGACATAAACACCAAGAATGCTTTTGCGCATCGTGAGCAGCGCGGAATGTCCACGCACAATCAGCGATGACAGCAACAGCGAAAACATAAGGAAGGGAAAGCTAATGACTAATTAAATATTCATTTAATTTATTTAATTTAAATTTAAATTAAAATAAGTTAATATTGAATTAATTATTTAGTTAATTATTTAATAAAAATTAAATAAGTACTTAGTTAATTAAAAAATCACTCCCAACATCACAGGAACCGTGCACTTCACATTGATAGGGACATCTTTTTTCTAGAGATCAACTTACGCTGGGGTAGGTTGATTTCTAGAAATTTCGTCCATATCTCCTTACAATACGATCGTAATTCTTAGAGGCATGGAATGCCTTCTTTCAATTATCGTCGCAGAAATATAGAGAAAAACAGATCTATGAGCACTAACTTCGCCACAACTCTCTCACTTATACAGCAAGAAAGCGCAGGATGCCTAGTGTCCATAGATACTATCTCCACAAACCGAAGAAAACGTATACTCACGAAAGCGTTCATGGCTCAAGCTCGGTTGGAAAGCTTCGACAGATTGTGATCCGACCACAGCAGTACATCGCAAATTTATAGTTCTACAATCAGTAGGAGGAGTCGACCTTCGGCGCTACTCAGCGAGGTCCAATCGGGAGGATCACACTGATCTTTCCTTGTGCCGATTGTAAAATTGCAAGTATTCCGTGATCATCGTGACTTTCTAAAGAACTGCAGAACTGTGTTAAACTCAGGGTTGTGCAACGCATGGCGATGGTCCGATCGTGAGAAAAATTTGTATCGATGAAGGAATGTAACGAACGATTGGGCCGCTGCGAATTTCGAGCAGTTCGGGCAGGGTTGAGTGAGAATGAAGATGAAGAGGTATAAGATGTAGTAATAAAAAAAAAAAAAGAAGCCAATAAGCACTCACTAGAGGAAAGACCATCACCATTAACAAAAGGCTCATGTGACTACCTTCGCCCCCAGCAAGCCTTTGGGCCACAACCAAAGCGGAGAGTGTGATGGAATAAATGAATTTGTTTTGGAAAGGCACCAAGGCAAGGCCTCCTGCTATCCAGAGGGGGGCGATGAAACGGAAGTTGGGACTGCACATGCAATTCAGTGCTCCAGATAACACCCACAAAAGGGCAAGAGCAATGCAGGCACTCATTTAACGAGTTTTTTTTTTTTTTTAATTTTACTTTTTCCAGACTTCGAACTGTGCAGGTTAAGGCAGGTCGTACTATTTCCCTTGCTGTTTTATTTTTCAGAAGCAGTCGCTTTGGCTACGAATTTTCTTCACTCCTTCAAATCATTTTAATGGTGATATTTATTATACTATATATGATCATTGAATATTTGAATAAGGTACATAAATGTTGAACTGTTTTTTTTTTTCTTATCTGTTTAAGACAACACCTCCCCCCTTCCCTTTGCTTTCAGTATCGCAGTTGGCTAAGAGGGTCACCACAATTTATAGACTTCATTTCCAGCAGAGTAAGACAAAGAGTAGATAACCTCGTGGTATCTTACCAAATACACCTCCTGGCAGAGATTTCCAAGTCTCACTTCGCAGAACTAACATGACTGTCAATATCGTATTTACTCGAGTAATAGCCGCACTGCTTATGAAGAAAACCTGAGGGTTCGTTTTTCCGCGGAGCACGCAGATTGCCGATCACCGCGATCGACAGCATGACTCCAGCTGTTTACAGGACAGAGATAACGCCTTTGTGCGAAGAACCCATCTTTGAAGATTGAATTTGTATGGAGAATCGTATTCTCGATCTGGTTATTCGCTAGGTTATTTATGCGCAACGCAATGATTGGCCGTATATGTTTTCTGTTGGAAAGTAGACGGAAGGGTTTTGTTCATAAATAGTGCGGCTATTACACGAATAAATACGGTAGTAGAAATTCGAACAGGAACCGAACCGGAATCTTCGCCACCATTTTGAAACTGTACCGGAACTAAGCCGGAAAAAAATATAACAGTAACCGGTTCAAAGCAGTTCACGGCGTTTTTTTTTTTTTTTTTTGTTAGTATCACAAAATAAATATTTTAAAACTACAAAATTAGCAGCTCTATTTCTATGTGTTGATCAAATCGTCATATCCAGAATTGCACTGTGTGTGAAATTGTGGGTTTTCGTGGCGCTTTTTTATTGGCACTATGATTAATCATGTGGCACGTGCTCACGTGACATCATGGTATCTAGACATGCACTCAAGTAATGTCACGTTATGGTGCCCCTTGACGTCAAGTGACGGAGTCACGTGACACATGCGTCAAGTCGGTTTAAATTGAAGCGTCACTAGATTCATTAGCGTTGTTGAAACCGTGACGTCACATGACATCATGGCTTCGCACTGCGAGTCCCGTGACACCGTGGTATACTCGATTGTTATGAACCAGAGTCGAGTGTTCAGGTTCATGACAATCAGAATCGCCAATCATTCGGGTAACGGCACGTGTTCAATCGAGGATGAGAAAGGCCGAATTCTAACAATGTCTGTAGCTCAGCTCATTCTTCATGTTTCGCCAAACCCAGCGTATGATTATGATGAACACTGACGGTATATAATTAGCGTCAGATCACGGGGCCGCGCTTGTTCTAACTGCGAACTGAGGAGGGGAAATATGTTTGTTTTCTTTCTTTTATATGCGTCAACCATTGCGAAGAGAAGAAAACTAATGGGTGTTTTTGCAAGTTATAAACGTGAGGTATTAGTTCATAGGCGTATTAAGTCAAAGCACAAATATTGTTGCACGACCCATTTTGTTACACCGAAACACGTTTTCGTTGTTGCTGAACTGGCTCAGTAAGTTGTCCTAGAGAATAGAAACATTGTAAGGACTAAATGTGACTTTCCAACCCGACGTTGCATAGAACTACAAGTGTGTACGAGAGGAATAACTGAAAAGAAGGATCCTAGTGGCTTCAGAGGAACAGCCGGACGTTGGCAGCCGCTCTAAGTCTTGCAAGAGTGTCGTTGTAAAGTTCCTCCCCAAGCTTTGTTTAAACTTCAGAGTTTTGGATGCAAAATAAAAGCAATGGTGGATCACTGTTAACAAGTGACACAAATATAATTGTCGAGTTAACACCCCCAACAAGGAGGGAGTCTCCCACTAGGATTAAAATGTTTTCTCTGGAGGAGCAACGAAAAAAAAAAGGGGGGTGGGGGGGGGGGGGGGGGGGGGGGAGGGGGGCTTTATAAAAATATATTGCGCTGTTAAGGCGCGTTCACACCGCTGTTGCGATCTAGTCGCGCGACAACTTTCATCGCAAAAGCTACCATCGCAGAAAAAAAGCGACGTGATTCGACCAGTCGGTATCTGACCCGACTTTTTACTATGCGATCTAGTTGCGGAGTGGCTGAACTAATCAGCGGCGTTCGAAGCGAGAGTTCTTGGGTAGTGACTCGCTCATCGCGCACGCCAGCGTGACCATCTGATTGTTTTGCGATGCGATATAGTCACATCGCGAGAGTGCTTTACATCGCCGGTACGAACGCGCGTTTAAGTTTTCTCTACCCCGCACAGACCAGGAAGCGTGGGCCAAAACAACTACTTTATTTGCAAAAACACTCTGACTGAAAGCGCTTTTTTTTTTTGCGGTACCAGGCGCTCGCGCCCCATTCCCCACAACACTGCACCAAGCAAGAATAATTTGTGTCTATCAAATACATGGCTTGCACTGAGCGCGAACCTTCTGCAGCCTGAATTTTTCGGAAATGTCTCAACAACAAATCGAAATGACCACCAGAATGTTGTTCAATGACGTCACGTTGAAGCCATGTTAAACAGTTCAGTTTTCTGGTGAAATTCGATGTTCGCAACACTATCAACAGATGTCTAAATCATAAAGTTGAGCAGTATTTTAGCAGTCCCACGATGATATACGGCACCCTTAAAAAATGTTAAATCGCATGACCGATAAAGCACAGAGCTGTAAAGTGAGGGCCCGAAACAAGTGGACAAATCGAATATAGTATCATACCTCCCGAGACAGTATTTCCCGAAGTTTCTAGTTCATGCAAGCTAAAGCCCAAATGTGATTTATGTTAGGGTTATAAGAACTTTCATCTGTCCTTCGCACTATTTATGAGTAATTAGGAATATTATTGCATATTTAACTTTTTTTCTCAGTGAGGCATTGGGTGTTGGTTTCTTTTGAAGAATACCCCCCATTTATTACATTTCTCTTTCTGCACATTTCGCGTATTTTTCTTCAGATGTATCATGTGAGCACAATGCAATTTTCGGTATATACCCCGCGATCTAATGTTTCACACTGCCAAACAACGAAAAAAAAAAACGTTCATTTTCGTTGATCGGCTCAGCAGCTGGCGTATTTTCAAGTATCGTCCTCTCGTGTCGATCACAAGCAGTTACGTGAACTTTATACAATCAAATTTATTGATTTTAACAGTAATATATTTTATTACGGACTGAAGATTTGACAACATAAATGTAGGGTCGATCACCTTAAAGATATACATCATAAGTAAATGTAACCCCAAATCATCTCAAATATGCTGTGCAATTCTTTCCCGAGGTTTTTACCTCAATAGACGTGTATAAGTGATTTGGGAGTCCTTTAAACAGTTTTATGATTTTGACGCTGATTTAAATAACTATGTTTTACTGACACACATATAACATCTGAAACATACAGAAGTCTGTTATTTCCTCTTTTATGTGATGAGCAGCAGAGAGCCAATCATGTGTTTCGACCAAAATACGCAGTCTGAGTTGTGACATTAAGCAATGCAGGCGTGCCGTTTTGCATTGTTTAAAGTCACAACTTAGACTGAGTTTTTTGGTCAAAACATATATGTTTCGGCATCGTCATTCACTGAGCTGCCCCCGTAAGTTGTGGTGATTGCCTCTCCGAGTGCTGTGCGGGAGAGCAGACGCACGGGTCTTTTTGTTTTAGAGTGTAGGTGTCAAACGATGTATTCTGAAAGCATCTCAAAAGTCATGAAACTCGGTTTGTGTTCTACGTAACACGTGCAAATTTAGTACCAAAACAATCGAACATTTTTTTTTCATGTCATGACTTTTTAAACGGCCGTTTACGACATGCCTGTTTTGCCAAGTGTGTTCCATCAGCTTGTCAAATCCCCCCTTTTGTTCCGCATGTCGAATCTCCTTTGTAAAACCAACACTAAACTTTCCAAGTCACAATTTCATTTCACGCCGTCAGTCAACAATTTCCATAGAATGTAAAGCACCGTGATGCGAAAGAAATAATTCTACATTTAAATATAATTATAATATATTTAACAGCCTAAGGCAAGTATGTGAACCCTTTCACGCGACTGAATGACTTGCAACGGACACTCTCAAATAAATGGAGCGACATTGGCGGCCGACATATTTTAGGAATAGCTTCCTGCACGAAGCGAGTGATTGGATCCAAGCTCACACCGAGTGCTGAAGCAGCACTCGCGCCCAATTATTGCTCCAAGGACGTGAATGTCGAAAGTATGACGGCCTCGGAAAATCGAAGCCAGCAGCTACT